ATATATATAAATGTTAAAGTTAGTCAGTGCTTTAGTCTACAACAACAAAAATTATGTGGAAGTGTATAATTAATTGTATAAGCATATTCTTGATCCATGAATTACACCAGATTTTATTAACAATGTCGAAAAATTGATACAGCAATGTAGTTTTTAATTAAAAAAATATGCATGTATCAGCGATAGTATAGAGAGATCGTGACAGTACTACAAGATAGGGGAGAGCGCTTTTAGACTTCTCTTTGGTTCTTAGTTAAGGGGATACTGAACTCGTCTACATTGCCAACAGAATTCAATATTTTTCGGTAAAAATTTTTATTTCTTTAACTTTTTTATTGTTTTTATGGTTTTGTTTTGGAAATTCTTTTCCATAATTAAAGCCGATGCATTAATATGTGTTTATTGCGCGGACTTTGTGTCAAGAACGAGAAAAATTTTTTAAATTTAAATCTTTTTTAACGTTTTCTTTTTCGGGTAAATGTCCTTTGTACATCCTTAGAATTTACACAAAATAATTCACGAATCATGAATATTTTAAGCATATTTTGAGGATAGACAGGATAGATATTGTATAAATGTTCTAACACTTCAAGAAAACATACAAAAATGCTGTATGGTGTGAATATTTTGAGAATATACCGAGAATATATGCAAAACAATAGAATATAATGATATTCTAAGAACATTCTGAACTTATGACCAACATATATTAAATATCTATGTACCGATAGAGAAATTGCATAAAATAGTACAAGCAAATAAAAGTACATGGCGACACCGTTCAGTTTTTCGATCCGTAATAGCAAAATACTCGCAAAATGTATTTTAAGTAATGCATTTTGCGAGAAATAAATAATTAGAATTCAAATCGTTGTATTTATGATTGACAATCTGGCTTTTTTCAATAATCGAATTTTTATTTAATTCCTTTGGTGACTTTCATTTTTTATATTGCGCTGATGGCTTTGTAAATGTTATAATGTAGAAATTTACAAAAGATCTATAAATAACGTTTTTTTTTAAAACATCTCATTTTATAGAATTTTTAAAACTTGAATTATAATTTAAATCTTTTTAAGAAATAACAAAGCAATAATATACATCAATGCTCACATGTTTCTACATGAAAGTTTGATCAAAATTATTATATGGGACGTCATCAAATTGGTTGTTAATATCAACAATTTTTACAATATTATTATTATTATGTTCAATCGTCCTACATATCTCGATGGCTCAACAAAATTATTTTCAGATCTGTAATCAAACTTTTTATAATACTTCATAAAATTTATAGAATTTTTATAATACTTTAGTAAAAAGTTTCTTGTGTGTAATGTAATAAAATTATGTATAATGTAAGAAAATTTCTACTTAGAAATTTATTATTATTTCTAGAAATTTATTATTATTTCAATATATAAAGTTCTATTGCGTTTGTTTTTGAGTAATTATAGTCTCTTTTAATATCAGAACAATTGTAAAACACAATTGAATTACTATAGTCCAATAATACATGGAAAGAATAGATTTGTTGAAGTATTTAAAAATTTCAGTATTATGTTTAAGCGTCCTACATAATAATTTTAATGACACAATAAAATTATTTTCAAATCTGTTTGTAGTCAAATTTTTAGATATTTCAGCAAAATCATTCTTTCCGTATAAGAACCGTTGTAATGCTACATGGGGAAAAATCTGCTCGCTTCTATACAGAAACCTATATTTATAATGTGCGCAACAATTTCATACTCCATAGAGCAACTTCATAAATCGGCATCTTTACCATCGTTGTACTTGGCACCAATATTTATGGGATTCGTACAAACTCGAGCAAAACCGCTTACGTGCGTCACGGCAAAATGCTGTGACGCAAATAGAATCATAGAGCATGTCGAATTAAATTTCGACGTGAATGTCGTTGTTGACGTATCGGGTCGGCGGAGCGATTTCCAATTTATTTGCGATATACGAAAAAAATCGCGGGGATCGTTGGAAAAATAATACCGCTTTACTTTTCAATGTTTGCACGACAACTTTAATTACTAAAAGCGATATACGTTTTTTCCTCTCTCGCCAGCATCTCTCCTTCGACGCAAATAAAAAGCATTAGCGCACGGAATATTCTTTTTTTCTCATCGAATAATGTACGTCTCCAGTAAGCAACGTTAAATTATCATGTCATTCGTTTCGTGGACATAGTATTTATCAAGAGATAACAAGTTCCTGCTTAATTCTATCCCATCGTTACGTTTATAGCGCGCTTTCGCGAACGTTCAGTAATTTCTTGGAATGGGAATGGGATGGACTACCCTCCGGCAATTCCCCGAATTCTTCAACTTCGGGAGACACTGGACGCCGCTGAATCTCGCTCGTTTGGTGACTTGGGCCAAACTGCGATTAACTTAATCGCCGATTAGTCTGAGCGGCAGAATCGCTTACAGCAAAATTTCCGAGAGTGTAATTCGTTATCACACCGATAACCTTTCTTTTCACGTTAAACGGCGAAGAATTGATAATCCTGTTCACTTTAATAAAACAATACAGATGTTGGTCGAAAGGCTAATTAAATTAATTTGGTCCAAAATTCTTTTAAATTCAATTTTTAATATCTTTCTTTTTAAGTTAATTTTCTTTAAATGATTTAGTTAAAATCCCAAATGCTTATTACAAAGTTAAATTATGTTAATTTTTATGTATTATAATTTTTTAATTAGTTGCAATTTTAAGAATACGTTTTAAATCATATACATATATATATATATATATATATATATATATATATATATATTACATGCATATTTATATATGTATATAATGTGTAGATTATTTGAACAATATAACAAATTCCGATGAGAAATATATAATAGCTATTTGATTAAATATTTGAAGATATACATAACATAAACAATAATTTTACTTGATATTAGAAGAAAATAGAATAGTATAGAAGGAAATTTTGTTTCGTCATTCGATCAAAAAGCTTCATGCATTAATTATAAAACATAATTCCCATTTTATTAGCTTTCATGATAAGAGAACTAATGTGCATGTAATTATTAAGAAGTGACACTCATAATGATATTACATCAAATATTGACACGAAATTTGACTCTTTAATTAACTGTCACATATAAGGTACAAGGCAAACTTATGACTGGAGGTAATTTTAATCCAGGAATATGTGGATGTGTATTGAAATTACTCTTACATATTAATCATATAGTACGTAGTAGACAATAGCGTATCTTCCGTCAGGTCAACCATAATTAATCGATACTTTAATTACTTAAAGCATTATTTCTGATAGCGTCTGCGATTCCGACGGGCGATTCCGTATACGCCAATTATCAAAATTGTATATTGAATCCATCGATTTTTCATTTTATCGCACCGCGAGCAATTGCGTTCGATAATTCAAGCCACCGACGAATCTTGTTAACAGAATGCCGCTGTAGTGTCTTGTGTATCGTGTCACTCTGACACTTGTTGGTACGCTAATTAACTAAAAGCATCGTATCGCGATAACACCGGCGATACTAGTCGAGCATCTCCAGTTTCACGAGAGAATTCTCCGAAACTGTATAAAACCCATCAATTCGTCGGCGACGTTATCGCGAACTCGGCGAACTCGTTCGATAATTCGAGATAGGAATCACGTTAATGTACACTAGGGATAATCGAAGAATAACCGAGGGATAATCGTCATCCCTGTGGTGTATGACACCTTCTCGATTTTAGGTTCGTTCTTGGGATTTAGCGACAAATAGTGAATAATTTAGAGACAGACAAAAGCAAAAAGTGTCAGAAATAAACATTAAAGATATATTAGATGTAGAATACTACACATAAAAAAAAGTTAGTTTTAAATTAAGATAGATATTTTCAAATATAAGCAAAAATATCTTATAATCTTATAATCTTCTTAAAAAAAAGTTTAATCTTTGTTTTGATTGAAATTTTATGATTTGTATTGCAAGTATAGATATTCACATACATAAGAAAGAATATTTTATTCTTCATATCAAAAGATTTTTAGTCTGAATTGAGCAAAAATAATACTTACATCAATACAAGTTCAATCAAATCAAGATTGAAATTTTCTAAAAATATAAGTAATTACTTAGTTTAGAGAACTACTACTTCAATGATCTTGATCTTGACATATATTATCAAAGTCATCTTCTTGAGTAACAATCAAAAGATGTTAATAATTGACCATTGTTTAGTAAAAATTTATTAACAAAGAAAGTTTGAAAAATGTATTAGTTTTCGGTAATGGAAATCCCTGCTCCCCCTACGAGGGGGCTGCACCGGAAAATCTAATCTAATCCATATCACAGTGATAGTGAAATATTATGCCCTTAAGAAAGATGAAACTCTTTCATGATCATTATGATGACTAAAACGCATGTATGTTATGTTTATACATATACATATTGTACCATTTTACATGGGTTTTCCTATCTTCAATAATTCTTATTTTTAATAATTAATTAATTAATTAATAATTTTTTAACAAATTACGAGTAACAATATCAATGGCCTTAATTTTTTTAAGAGTCAAAGTTAATATCAGAATTAGTCGGAAGTCATTTGGAGCTGATTATATAAAACTATACATAATCATTTCTCAAATTTTTTTGTTAATAATTTTTTAATAAACAATGAATGACGGCTAAAACCTTCTGATTATTACTTAAGATGATGATAATATATATCAAGATTAAGATCATTGATCCCCCAAACTAAATAATGACGAAGATTATAATA